CCAGATTTTGCCTCGGTAATAGATCTTTCCTCGTTTGGATTTGGCACAGCTTTTTCTTATTGGGTGCGTTACGAGGTGCTGGAGTCATCCTGGTTGGCAGACTGTCCCTTCTTTTCATTGGGTGCGTGGCATATGCTCTGTCGGACCCACACACTTAAATGGGAAGTAACATCTACTGTTGTTCAGGTTTACCTGGGAGGATGGGGGGCAAATTTGAGCACCTCAATGTGTGCTTGTTCGCCCCTGCTCTTCCTAAGGATGTCAGCCAGGTGCAGCTTCACATGCAGGTTCCTGCCCTTTCGGCATCTCTTGTAGCCGAGGATTTGCGTGCCCTTGGTCATTTGGCTTTGGTCTTGCTTTTCTTTTCCCTTTTTGAGCTGTCTTTGGACTTGCTTGAGGAAGATGTGGAGGCACTGGGTGCCGTGCGCTTACCTTGGCGGCTCAGGCATCAGTTGCCTTATTGACGTTGTACGCGCCGACCTTCAAGGAGGCGGTGTCTGTTCTTCGCTTCTCACTTCACATGCCGTCAGGCTGTGCTCACTCCCTCTTTGGAATCTGCTTGGGCCCTGTCTCTTAGGTTTTTGGTGCCTTTTTGCTCATTGCTGTTTGCAGTCTGCATTCATGCAGTATTTGCAGACGGCTTCGTCTAGTTGTCGGACTTGTTGGTTCTCCGGGGTGGACGTGGGGATCCTGCCCGGAAGGGTTGTGCCAGGGTTCAGGTTTCCCTCAGTTGTGGTAGGCCAACGGTGTCAGTTTCAGAGCAGGCACCTCCTTCAGAGTCGGCGGCATCTGGACAGCGCAGTGTTCGCTCTGTGTAGGTCGGCTTCTCGTAAGAGGAATCAGCCATTTCGCTGTTCGCCCCGTTGATGGAGCAATGGGAGGGAAGCTCGTGATGTTTGCTCACACCTGGTCCCACAATTTGTGGGCGTTTTGGGTCATTTCATTTGGCCTGCAGTGGCGCTGGGTGGATCCTCCTCCTTTGGGGGAGTTCAGGGTTTGTGGGGCAAGCCTCCTTTTCTGTGCTGTCAGGTCATCTTGGAGTATGTGCATTTGGGCGTGGTCGAAACGATGACACCCCTGAGGTGGGTTTCCTGTCTGTTGCCAGTCCTGAAACGGGACTATGGGGATCTTAAGTTCATTCTGGACTTGTCCCATCTGACCCCCCCCCCCTGGGTCTTTTGCCCCTCCATTCGGATGACCAGGTCCGACTTCATTTAGAGGTGGATGCTTGGATGGTATCTCTGGACCTCCGAGATGTGTATTGGCACATCTCAATTCATTCAGGGCTCAGGAACTGGCTCAGTTTTGTTGTGGGGTGTCAAGCTTACCATTTTTGTTGGCTTGAATCTAGCACCTCGCATTTTTACAACCTTACCTGGGTCGTGGTGCCCAGCTTGCTTCTGTTAGGGGTTCGGGTTCTGGCCTACCTCAACGACTGGCTGGTGTGGGCTCCCAGCCAGTCCGTGTGTCTGCTCGCCAAGTTCAGATTCTTGGTCAACTGGCGATAGTCCCATCTGGTTCCTTCTCAGATTCGGACTTGGATGGGTCTTGATCGAGACTCTAGGACCACTTCCTTGTCTCTCTCTCCAGTATCGTTGCTGCGCCTGCGGTCCCCCACCTTCAGCTGCTTCTGGGAAAGGTCCCAGGTCACTCGTCGATTGCTCGAGCAGCTGTGCGAGATTATGAACTTCGCCGTGCTGGTTTAACCGCCAAGTCTGGTCTGGCTTTGGCATCTGTTCTGGTTTCTGTTGCTCTTGCAATTGATGGGTTCGGCTTTTGAGGGCCTTGTGTCGGGTGCTGCATAGCCGGCTTCCTCTTCAGGTTTTTCGGGGTTCAGTACAGTAGCGCCTACCCGAGCCCTCGCTCAATGTGTTCACAGATGCCTCGTCTCTCGGTTGGGGTTTTGTGACCAGTGCTCACCAGGCTGGCCAGGGTCAGTGGGGTCCATCCTTCCATCAGGCTCACAGAACGGTACGGCAGTGTGGCAGTCGCTTCGGAGGGTTCATGTTGCTCGCGGATCGACGCTCTGGCTCCATTTGGACTGTGCCTTAGTGGTTCATTGCCTGAACCAAGGGAGTTCGATGCGGTCCTCGGCTCTTTGGGTCTGGTCACTTCGGGGCGACTTGTCTACCGAGTTCTCGGGTTTTGTCTCTCCCGGCAGTTCATGTCTAGGGAGTGTCCAGCATCCTGGTGGACGGCCTGTTCCAGTTCATTACCTAATCCACAAAATGGACAGTCGACACCAACTTGTTCAGTTGGCTCTGCTGGACATGCAGGTGCCCGGAGGTGGACCTCTTCGCGTCGGTGTGGTCGAGGCGTCTTTCAATGTATGTGGCACACTTCCCCCAACTGCGAGGCCATCTGGATCGATGCCTTTTGGCAGGACTGGTCGAGGTGGGGCTTCGAGTTCTGGCTCATTTGGAGACTTACTAAGGGGACAGTAGTCCTGATGGCCCCAAGGTGGCTGGCCCAGCCTTGGTTTCAGGCGCTGCTTGCTCGGTGTCTGAACCCGGGGACTTTTCCAGGGCTCCGCCTCATTCAGATCAGGCCAGACCGGTACATGACTAGCTCAGTGTTCTCTGATCTTTGTGTCTGGTCTTTCTGGCATAGGTTTATCACCATTGACATAGTGATCAGGTGGCTTTATTGATGCTGTCCCACCTGCATGCTTCATCTCAGCAGCAGTATGGAGTTTCCTGGCGATCCTTTCATCATCATTTGTCTCTTCGTAGGTTCTCTTCGTGTTCAGCTTGGGTTGTTTTGTCCTCTCTCTCTCTCTTGTCTCTCTCTCTCTCTCTGGAGGTTTCAGGACCATCATCTTATGCCGAATACTGTCATTTCATATCATACAGGTCTGGTGGAGCTGCTCCTACTTGCGTTCGGAGTGGATGTTACTTCTGATCCATTTCACAAGCTGTCTCATGCATTGCTTCACCTCCGGCCTGCTCATGCGGCACTTGAGCCGTCCTGGTCATTAGACTGGGTGCCCTCTCTTCTCAGTTTATTGTAGCCCCTTCGGTTCAGGATTGCCTTGATAAGGCTCTTTTCTTGTTGGCATTGGCCTCTGGGGGTTGGGTAGGAGCTTCATGCTCTTATCCGGTGCAGGTGTTTTTGCTCTTTCGGTCCTAGTGGGAGTTTGTTCGTTTGCAGCAGTCTCCTTTTCCGGCGAAGTTTGAGACGGCCGCTTTCCAGAGGGTTTCTTGGGTTGTTGCTTGGTTGGTTGGTTTGGCCAGGGGTGCTTCATGTTTTGTGTCCAGTTGCAGCTCTTAGCCGTTATTTGAGCGCCACGACTTCGGTAACCGGGAAAGCACTTTGGGTGGACCCAGTTTCCTTCTTCCCCTGTTCCAGGGCTCGGGTCTCCCAGGTCGTCCACAGGGTTATTCGGTCAAGCCAGCCTGTAGTCTCTCCTCGTGCCCATGATGTTCGCAAGTTTACTGCTTTAGCTGCCGTTTTTCGTAATTTATTTTGGTCTTACATTCGGGCGTGAGGGTTTTGGAGGTCGAACAGGATCCTGGCTGCCTGTTATCACAATGTTCCTGGCCCTAGTCAGCCATGTGTCACTTTAGTTGGCTCGTGCCTCCGGTTGTTGAATTGGTGAGCTTTATGCTATTCTCCAGAGGCAGGGGGAGGGGGGTTCTGCTCCTTTGGCCCTGTGGGTGTTTTCTTTGTTTGCAGCCATCTCCTTCTTTTCTGGTGAAGAACGAGTTGGTGGGCTAAAGGGTTGGTTGTTGGTTGGTACACTGGTTGTTGATTCTTGGTAGATTTGGCTGGGGTACATCATTTGTTGTGTCTGATGGTGGTTTGTCACTACCTTTGTGCCACAGGCTTTGCTCTGGTGGATACTGTGTGGGTTGATCCTGTCTCCTTGGTACCCTGTTCAAAGGCTCATATTTCTCGGGTTGTTCACAGTGTTATCAGGTCTAGCCAGCCTGCAGTCCTGCCCCCTGGGCCCATGATGTTCACAAATTGTTTTCATTGAATTATTTTCTAATGTGACTTAGGTGGATATTTGGGTTTGGGGGTTTTGGCAGGCTGTGACCTGCCAATATGGTGGCCAGATATTTAGTCAATTTCCCTCCTTGTCAGTATCACATAACTGACTCCTTGTCAGGCATGTGTTGCCCTTGGACATGTTTCCCAGCTGTTTTTTTTTTTTTTTTTTTTTTTTTTTTTTTTTTTTTTTTTTTTTTTTTTTGAGATATATACAAGAGTTGTTACATTCTTGTACAGCCACTAGTACTCGTAGCGTTTCGGGCAGGTCCCTGGAATACGATCCCCTGCCGCGAAGAATCGAATGTTGGTCTCTCTTTTGAATTAGTACCTGTCACTTCCCCTTCTTACTTTTTTTCTGTGGTTGTTTAGCTATTGGAGCCACCAAAGGGCTTCCCCAGAAACCTAGTAGTGAATGTAATGAAACATCTCTCTCTGGTAGAGCCTTAGTGGCTCCCTGTCTTCCTTCCTTCCAGGTTCGTCAGTTTGTTGGGGAATTTTTTTTTTTTTTTTATCTCCTCCAGAACTGAAGGGCAAGGTGACAGAGGACCAAGCTCCAGACTGCCTGATGGTGGTGATCAGTACTAATGGGTTTGAGCTAGTTTGGAGTGAATTATTTTGTTTTGATTGACTCATTTGGGGAATTGTTTGGTAGTTTTGAGGCTTTGAGTCTTGTGAACCCAGTAATTTTCTGTAATGCTTCTGACTTTCTGCCATTTCACTGGGAAAGCATCGGGAATGTCATTTGCTCTTTGCACCTCAGTGAGGGAGGGCCAGGTTCTGATCCCTGTTTTGACCTATCTGGGGCTCTGGTCCTGGGTAGGTCAAACAGGACTCCTGTGACTGATGTGACTTATGGTATGGAACAATCTCAGTGAGATAGTTACAGGAAGCCACCAAAGTGCTTCCCCAGAAATAATTTTTATTCATCACTTGAGCAGAATCCTACAAATGCACTTGGCATTACTACATGAATATTCACAATGAATTTAATCAACTTCCATCAACAGGTGTCCCAAGTTTCAAGCATAATCTGGTGAGAAGTCCTAAAAAGGAGAACATCTGAAACTCTCAGAGAAGACAACTTTGGTGAGAAAATGGGAAATGCAAGCTGATGCCAGGGAAGGCAACTCTAAAACAAAGTCAGGACAAACTCATCAGCTAAGGATATGCAAATTGGGAAGCATGAACACAATCATGTTGCATAATGTAATAAGAAAAATTCTTAAGGAATGTGCCAGTCCTTGCCGAGTAGAAGTGATGTACTGTACGCGAGTTGGGAGACAGGCAGGCTGGACCTTTGACCTGCCATCTGGAGGTATGCCTGGGTATTAGTTGACATTAGGCAAACAACCACACCCCCTTGTTCCTACCCTTTCTCTCAAATTAAACCCTTTCTCTCTACCCTACCCTTTCTCTCAAAATTACTATTATTATTAAAAATTGTAGTTTGTTTCTTTACTCAAACTTTCTGGGTGGTTTTACTTGGTTTTTAGTTAATTTCGGTTACCCATGCTGCTCTTGCCATGAGCACACTAGATTCTGATCCTGGTGTTGAGAAGGTCTTCACAAGTCCAGAGGCCTGATGTTGTCTCTAGTACATATCAGAGCCAGTGTATTGGGGAACTACTAAGGTCCAGAATCTGTAACCAACATTGATATTTAAACTTGGCAAAAGTGAAGACTATGAACATATGCCTGTAATATCTGCAGAAATATTACCTATTAAATAATATAATATCTGCCATAAGTATCTGCTATGGTTCTACTTTCTGTCTGTCTCTTTCTCTCTCTCTTGAGATGCTTTCATTAGTGTCATTGCCAGCAACGCCTAAGCTGCTAATCATATTCATCAGTGTCTGGACCTGAAATTTCTTTCCTACTAAAAATTTTAATATTGGATTTTCTAGTGTTTATTTTGCCAGTGGAGCTTCTGCTATTTTACGTCAGCTTTTGTTCTCTGAAAACACTAAATATTTATCAATATTAAAAGGTACAGTATTGGCAAAATTATTTGTTTGCTTGAATTTTTACAGTACGTGTATACCAGAAGAAGTAGTCGATACTTAGGGCAAGAGATTATAAGCTGTGTTTGAGTTTCAACAATGATAATTGAGATATCTGTAAATCTACATACTGCTGCTTTATGTTCATTAAACAAAATATTTAGTTAATAGGTGATGAAAGGCTATGAATGACTGTATATGGTGAGAGAATCTGATGATGGGAACTGCATATGGCAACAGGAAATTGGATGATGAAAAATATATATGATAACTTAAAAAAAAATTGATGATGAGAAATGAATATGGCAATTCAAAAAAATCTCATGAGTAATACATATAGACATGAACAAATCTGATGATAAATGCATGTGGTGGCAGAACAACCAGTGATGATAAATGTTTATGAAAAATTATTTTTGCAGTCAGTAACAGCATTCATAAACACCCCAAAATACACACACACACACACACACACACACACACACACACACACACACACACACACACACACACACACACACACACACACACACACACACATACACACCCTGTGATGCTCGTTATGGTAATACTTACATCTAAGGACATATAATCACATGAAGTGATATTATTTAAACTCTAGCTATGTAGCTTACTACCTGAGGCCTTTATTAAGTGAAGCGCACGCAACTACACGTGTTTCCCACGGGGGAGGGTGATAGGCGAGTGCAACATTCATAACCAGTAAACACTTTTCGTCATCTAATACTAAGGATGGTGGTGGAAAGCATGTAAAAACTATGCAATGCAGTGCTTTTATGCAAAATACAGTACTGTATAATCAAAACTGTGCATTTATTGCAAAAAAAAAACTCTGATATTGCAGCGACAAAATCTTGTGCGCTAAAGAAAATACATCACTCTAGAATATATTTCTTCTTGAATAATAAGCAGCTGTAAAATCTATGCATTTTGAAGTGTGACTACTTTACTTTTAAGAAGTGTTTCTAAATACTTCAAGTCTTAAGGACCGGAAAGTAATGACTGAATATCAGTAATTATCTGTTCTGCATGTAATACAACTTATTATGCTATACATGGTTCAACTGTAAGATGACAAGTTGCAGCTCCAAGTGTTAGAATAAAAATTGAAGTGAAAATATTGTAGCTGTGATATATTGATGTCAGTGAAATTGTAGATATGACATTGATTTAATGGAAATGTTGCCGATAAACATGTTGTTGTCAATAAAAATATTGTAAATATAGCATATTGATATCAGTAAATATGTTGTGGATTATTGCAAAGATGACATTGACAAGTGAAAATGTTGCAGATATGACATTGATATCAGTGGAAATGTTGCCAAAATGACATGCACTATATTCTCTATCACATCAAACTGCCAGTTGTGATTTAACACTAAATAGAAACCCTTCAATGTTCCTATCTTTGTGGGCCTTTGTATAATAGAAAACACTTGTAGTTAAGTGCAGTTCACATTGTCTAGGCATCAAACATACTCGTATTTAATACATCACATTGTATCCAACTACAATCACCCTGGGAAATTCAGACACTCATTTAATTCGGACATGGGCAGGAGTGTTGACCAGATAAATGCATCCAGACGTTGTGCCCATAGAATGGTGGTACCATACTACTTCTGCAAAGAAGTTCATATTGTCCACCATGGATCATATGTAATATATTTTCAACAACAGGTGCAGTATGAAAATTGGCAAATATGCAACACTTTAATGAGTTTAACCACCTTTGGTGCTCAAAATTCAACTATGAAATAAATAAATTATAACAAAATTATCAACAAAGTTCTCCTAGAGATGCATCACCTAGCTTTAAAACTTTCTTGACTATGTCATTCATTATAACAAATTCGTTTTTACATAATAAGAAGAAACTCAGAACGTTTCGAGCTAACTTTTCAAAGGTTTATCTGGCACTCACTGTCTCACTGCGTGAAGGGTGGATAACAGGTGACAATATCCTGAGTACCTTCCAGAATATTCATTAATCACTATGTAGATGAGCCAGGATGTTTTTATCTAATTCTCCATTAGACTTTGCATTATCAATCAGAATGCTTGGGGGGTTTACTGTTACTAAACAAATGGTTAACACTAATGTGCTTCAGTTTATTGTTCTAAACATTGATCTGATATCCCGATTCTCGAGGTCTTGCTCCTTTATAATACTTCTGTATGTGGTGAGACTTGGAAGATGGTCCAGCTGCCCCTCGTTTGTTAGCACGATCACATTCTGTTTCACTGAACTCAACTCTCTTGTCTGAAAATCCACGAGGGGGCGGCGGAGGAGGTGGCCTACAAGCAGAAAGGCGCTCACTAGGAGGAAGTCTCTCACTGGGGGGATGGCTGTGAAGAGACAGAAAATATTAATGTAGAAAATAATATACAAATAAAAATCCAATGTTGAATGTAATGAAGTGCCTGTTTCTGGTGGGTCCTTGGTGGCTCCTAGCTTCCTGGATAACTCCAACCAATGCCAGGCCCTTGCAAGTCATAAACCTTCCAGGTTTAGGTTTAAGGTTCCATAAACCTTCCAGGTTTCCATAAACCTACAGAGTTGCAAGGAGCAGGGGGCTACAAGATCATCCTAATCAAGAAAAGACCACAAGAAAAGTGGACAAGCCAAAACAAACACACAAACAAACAGCAAGGTAAAGAAATCCTAAAAAGATAAAACTAAACCTCGAACTGAACAAAGCACCAGTTGTGAAGCAGTTCACCCGCTAATTACACTTATGTGCCACATTCCTTGCTTGTCAATCCCTCAACTTGAAGCCTCGGTCATTAGCCAGGCAGACCAAATCTGAAGCTCCTAAAAATGGAAGGGAGGGTCCAAGGACCCACCAAGGATCTCACTAGAAAGAGACATTTCATTCACCACTGGTTTTCTATGAGTGCTTTTATGGTGGCTCATTGATAATATGTTACCATGGAGATAAGAATGGGGAACAAATCAAGAAATAAGAAGAGCTGCAGAAGGGAAACTTTGTGAAAGAGGGAACTTAGTGATGATGAGATAACCACCCTAAAACCACACAATCCCAGAATGAACCAGGAATGTTCGAGGAATGAGATGTGAGCACACAGTCAAATTGCCAAACCTCAGAGTTCGAAGATTTTATCAAGAAACATAAAAAAATACTGTACTGTGGATAGAGCTGTAAATCTACAAACATGAGCCCACGGGTAGACTGCAAGCTGACTAAACACAATAACACTGTGGACAACCTGAGACAAATGGCCCCCAGAACAAGGTACCAGGGACATTGGACCCACAAATGCAGTTGAATGTTTCACAGACATACTAGAAGTATGGTGAGAATGGTGATCTCCTACAACTGGACATTGTAAATGATGCACCCCTGGCCAAATCAACCAAGCATAGATTGCCAAAGAACACCTCCAAAACCCAGCCATTTCAACATAGCTAGAAAGGAAGGAAAGGGCTGGAAATGAAGAAAACAACCTTCAGGACCAATAGAACAAAATAGAGCATAGAAGAAGCAAACCCAGACTGAAGAGGGCAACAGAAAACTGAGGGGAGGGGAGGAGAGAAAACCTAAAATCCCTTTCAAAGACCAAGAAGGCTGAGGAGCATGAACAGGCTTGAGGTTCAAAACACCAGAGACAACGTGCAAAACGGAGTCGATAAACTGTCGACACCAGACACTGTCGCCAACAACTAACATGCCTAAACAACACAAGGCGACAGTAAACAGCACGAGAAGCTGCACCACAAATATTTACGACAAAACACACACACACACACACACACACACACACACACACACTCTCTCACACTCTCTCTGATCTTTCAGGCATCACACACTCTCTCTCTCTCACACACTCTCTCACACACACACTCTCTCTCTCTCACACACTCTCTCTCTCTCACACACTCTCTCACACACACACTCTCTCTCTCTCTCTCTCTTTCTCTCTCTCTCTCTCTCTCTCTCTCTCTCTCTCTCTCTCTCTCTCTCTCTCTCTCTCTCTCTCTCTCTCTCTCTCTCTCTCTCTCTCTCTCTCTCTCTCACTCTCACACTCTCTCTCACTCTCACACTTTCTCTCACACTCTCTCACTCTCTCTGCGTGTCAATTGTCTTGCTTTTATTACACTATATACATCTGTGTATCAGTTGTCCTGCTTGTATTTCACCATATACATCATATACGTCATGTCCTTCAAGAAGACCTGGACAAAATAAGTATATGGAGCACCACTTGGCAAATGGAATTTAATGTGAATAAATACCATGTTATGGAATGTGGAATAGTAGAACATAGACCCCACACAACCTATATATTATGTGAGAAATCTTTAAAGAATTCTGATAAAGAAAGAGATCTAGGGGTGGTTCTAGATAGAAAACTATCACCTGAGGACCACATAAAGAATATTGTGCGAGGAGCCTATGCCACGCTTTCTAACTTCAGAATTGCTTTTAAATACATGGATGATGAAATACTGAAGAAATTGTTCATGACTTTTGTTAGGTCAAAGCTAGAATATGCAGCGGTTATGTGGTGCCCATATCTTAAGAAACACATCAACAAACTGGAAAAGGTGCAAAGACATGCTACTAAGTGGCTCCCAGAACTGAAGGGCAAGAGCTACAAGGAGAGGTTAGAGGCATTAAATATGCCAAAATTAGAAGACAGAAGAAAAAGAGGTGATATGATCACTATGTAAAAAATAGTAACAGGAATTGATAAAATTGATAGGGAAGATTTTCTGAAACCCGGAACTTGAAGAACAAGAGGTCGTATATATTTAAACTAGCTAAATAAAGATGCTGAAGAAATATAAGAAAATTCACTTTCGCAAACAGAGTGTTAGACGGTTGGAACAAATTAGGTGAGAAGGTGGTGGAGGCCAAGACCGTCAGTAGTTTCAAAGTGTTATATGACAAAGAGTGCTGGGAAGACAGGACATCACGAGCATAGCTCTCGTCCTGTAACTGCACTTAGATAATTACACACAGTCTGGAAATCAATGGCCAAATAGAGCTGATTGGAACTAGATAGAATATTCAATTGATGCCTCAGGCTACAGCAACTCCTCACCTAGGAAACAGAGGGTGCCTGCTCCTCACTAATGTGTCCCATCTGGTCTAAGGATTTGTCTCCAGCCAAAATCAAGTGGGTCAGCATTGTTGGCCTTCAGTATTGGCTCAGGTACTTGTCGACATTTGAGAGGTGGTGGTCATTTTGATAGTGGTAAAGGGCTATCTTTTTATACAGTATTTCAACAATATGTCAGTGGTCAATTGTATCAACACAGGAGAAATGTCATGTCCCATACACTGGCATTGGGCACTGCATCTCTCCTAGCTTCTTAGGTTTTAGTTCTATCTTCAGTTCACAATTAATGGGGTAGCAAATGTATTGGTTGAAAGTCTCTTTACAGTTTCATCTGATTTAGATGGAATGGGAACTGGACATGATGTCCATCTGATTGGTGTTGCTGCACATTCTATACTCTTTTTAAGTGGACCGTTTTACAGAATCAAATGACTCCACTTATGTGATCTAATTTTCAGATCATGATGCTTCTGTTTTGGTTGTACAGTATTGTATTATTTTAACAGAAACAAGTAAAGAATATGTTTCCTCCAGTCACAATGTTTTACCAATCCTGTGGACGTTGAAAACTGTAAGTTCTTACTACTGTATATAATTTAATTAACCAATTCAGCCCTGGTTTCCAGGCCTGCTTGCCAGGTGCTCCAACCAAGTGCTTCTTTTTCTACTCTATATTCATGTAGAAGATTAACACATACAGTGTGACTATTTGCCCCACCTGGACATCTGCTGAACTTTGTGTACTAGGGGCAGCTCTACCACCATTTGATGGTACAGTATTCCAAAGTCAATTTCTTAAGATATCCTATTGGAATCAGTACAAGGTGGCATGGCACGTTCTTTATCTGGTTTTATTTTTTCTCTATTGTGATGCTTATGTCTTTGCATAACTATTTGTAGCTAGACAACTCATGCCTAACACCGATGCATCCTATTGAGTGGCTCACTCACAGCCTCATTAGCTTTTGTAAGCATTCTTTAAAATCTGTTTAATCTCCATGTACTGTTTACACAAATAACCCTCTAGACCTCTAGACCCCTGGATCCCAATCAGGTGGTTATTGCCCCTCTTGGGGGCACGTTTAAGTACAGTATTAGAAAATAGGGCTGTTCCCCCAAAAAATTGGTAACCACTGCTCTAGACTGTTCTTTCACACCTCTGCTATAGGTCAAACTGATCAAACTTCATTCCTTGCTGCACCATGTAGGATTTAGTTTCTTTAGGTAGGGAGCAAACCCATCTACTGCCTATTTTGTGGTGGGGAACAAAGTGCTCAGTAACTCAGGATGGAGGAGGGGGGATTCAGATTTTGTTTATGCATTTTTCTTTTTTGCTCCTGGCATTTCTAGTCTTTTCCTGTAGTGTGGTTTTTCTTCCTTAAGGGTAGGGGGGGTTATTGCTTTAGAGCCATTGTTTTCTTATTATATTTTTCTCTCCTGTGTTGTGGGCCATTGGCTTAGGGTAGGATTAAGGTTTCAGGCTCCTCTGTTGGTGACTTCTCTTCATCCAATGCTTCTCAGGATGTGGTAGCATGAGGATTTCATCTGGGGCATCTTTTGGCCCCTCTGGTTCTGTATTTGAGTGCAGCACTACCTTCTGGGACACCTCGGGCTTGTGCTGGCCAGTGCTGGCTGTGTCAGTCAGTAGCATGGTTGTAGTGGGTGGGTTTTGGTCACCTTTGGTGTGTAGTTCTTCCTCTACTGGGGGTGGGGGGCAGGTGCTATCGCCTCTCAGTTTGTGTTTTTCTGCTTTGTCCTAGAGTTCAATAGCTATTGCTTTCTGGGATCTTCTCTACCTTGCACTTACTTTTTAAGTTTGTATGACTTGATTTTTGTCAGTTTGTTGACCAGTTTTTCTTTAAGTGTTTGTCTCCATCTGGTGAGCCTTGGTGCATTAGAGCTTCACCTCTTGCCTGAGCAATTTCTCTAGCCAAGCCTCTTTTGTCATTCATCATAAACACTGTCTGGTAACTGGTATCCACTGCCACCACAGCTTCAGTTGCCTTGTTTCTGGTACTTTACTCCATTTTCTTTACACCACTCTCTAAGCTGCAAAAGGAATTCAGCACTTATAACTGGCAATTTACTCATATAACTACGATGCCATTGTGAGCATGCCTCTGGAGATATTCTGGTATAAATTACATGTGAAGATGAAAAATAGTATTTGTGGCTACATGCACTATTATTGCTTCTAGGGTAGTGAGGTACTCAAAAATTTGCCTGGTGCAGTCTCTGTTCAAAAATATATACAGTATTTG